TCTAACCTACATACATTCGAATTTTTTCGTTCTTCCCCAGCATTTCGTCCGCCATTTTGAAAGCTCGAGGGCTATTAAGCCTCGCTTGCGTGCAACTTCTGGTTTTTTTCTGGAATCGGTGTATTAGCATTGATTAACAAAGTTTACATTCTAAATTTAGGTCAAATTTAGGTTTGAGAAAGGTAAATCAAAAAACCCCAGCACTGTAAACAATTTCATTTCACCGAACACTGCAGCGTGAAAAACACAAGCATTGCACACCGTAGGGTTTGAGATCACTGCAACACCGCAAGTTGAGATTTTATTCACAGCATCACCACATTAAAAAAACATCAACACTGCAACACTGCAAATCCCCATGTCCCCCTCAGTTAACGTTTAGTCCTGGGTTAACGTTAACCAGCTTTCGAACAACCCGGCCCAGGGGTGAGGCCCATAACTTAGAGTCCCAGGAGACTGATGAGCCAAGGGGAGGGGGGTGGGGTGGGGGGAGGTATCTTCTAAGTCACCATGGCATGGTTACTATTCCTATATGGACCTGTCTGTATGCAATATTTGAACAACAGAAGAAACAGAAAAAAGATGGTTTACAGCACATTACTAAGTTATTTACTATATTATTCACGATAAAGCTTCACTTCCAGTAACTTCAATACTAATTCATGCCCAGCTTAATATTAAGGTTAAGCATGTAAATAAAGACAAGACAATTAAGTTTTGTAGATATATATCCAGTTGTTTGGCTGACAATTTCATTCAACTGGAAAATAAAACGACGCCAAAGTTAACATGCTCCTTACCTTTGGAAGCTCATTGATCAATCGATCTCTTTCCGCCTTGCTCATGGTAAGCTTGATTTGCCGGCTTCAATGTTTACCGATCGAAAATCACCTCAGATCTATATAAAGTCCGACTGCAAAGTTGCTCCTAGAGACGACATATACTTGTTTCGACTTCGCCAGAGAAAACAGCAGAAGTAAGCTTACTCAAGGTTTAAACTGTCGAAAAAAGTTCCCACAAAAATTAATATCCGCTTATGATGGCGGCCCTGGAAGATGACCCACTAGAGACCTGGGTCGGGGAATCACAGGAATACCAATTTTTCCAGCAACTTGTTCTTGGACCTTCTTGAAATCTTACATTTTCCTCTTGAAAGTGACCCGGCCTATGAAAGATTATAAATTTGAACAGAGAAGAAAGACGTTAAGACATGAATGATCATAGCATTTATGTATAGAAACTTTTCCGGCCCGCCATTTTTAATTAATCTGAATTAATTAATTAAAATTATACGCCTGAAAATTTCTTGTATGAAGAGAACCTCTGTCTATATTAAAATTATGTGAATAAAACAGCTCCGTAATCATAAGGTTTGAGATTTTGCTACAGCTCTCCGAGTGCGAAAACATTTCGGAACCTTCGAGAAACGGGCCCCAGCTACCGCAAAATATAACGTGAACTGATGAAATAACGCGTGCGGTTAGGCATATAAATGGGGTAAGATCGGCCCATCATATCTGTTAAGCGCGCATGATGACCTTTCCTTTTTATTGTGTTTTTTTCGAAACATTGCTCGGTAGGCAACAATCAGGGAAAGCTTCAAAACAACTTTTCGGCAACTTTTGTTTCTGCTCAAGAGATCACCTTAACTTCTTGCTTTTCTTTACAAAAGGAGTCCGGCAAGTATTTAATGATGAGACTTTCAGAATCAAAGGCTGCATCTACACAGATGACAATCAATCAGTCTCCAAGAATATTATATTGCACGCGGCATTATCTAAACCCTGCTGACTGTGGAGTGGGATAGTATGTGGTTTTGTCACCTGTTCTTATAATTAACAAAATAAAATGCATTATTAACAATTTGAAATTTAAAACAGGGAAACTACAGCAGTCAGCACATTGCAATAACCAGAAATTAAATTGTGGATTGCAAGATCTGACTTGTATGTCACAGGACTGTAGAAAAAGAAAAGAAATTCCGCACAACAGTACTGGAAATCAGGCGACTCGCGTGTTCGGAAAACATCATGTACAAGCCCTAGCAATCAGCCGTATAGTTCTCACGCGGTGTCTAACAATAACAGACCCTCGGCAGTTTGCTTACTCTGTAGCATAATAAGAATCAACAATTCAAATTCTCTGTGGTCGATATATATCCAAATGGCGTTTTGTTCTTTTTTGTCCTTGTCATATAAAGTTAAAGTTGCTGTCAAAATTATACAAGTAAGCTAAGATGCACGACGGCCGGCGAACAAACATCTTTTTCTTAGGAGGTATCAGATTAAGGGATGCAACAGACTAGAGAGGTAAAAAGCCTTCTTCAATATTTCGGAAGGTGCTAAGTTCTTGTAATTCTATTCGTTGTCATAGTGTATCCGGCAGCTGATATTCTTTTGGGGCTAAGGACATTGTATCGTTTACCTCGCTTGTGTTTGTGCCGCTCAAAGAATAAGAATTGACCGCGTTATGATTATTGAACTGCTGCGATTTAGACTTTCGTTCCTTTATCTTGGTTATAGTATTTTCGGAATTAGAACATCGATGTTTTAGGTTTTCGCCTCCGTGCTTGTAACTTTAACGGTCACGAACGAGTTTTAAAACAATCTTAATTCAAGATTAGCTTCGATAACAATCTGCACTTTTTCTTTGGCAGATGAAAAGCAGCAAATTACCGCTGTCCTTAGTGATTCCTTTAATTTTTGCAACATGTATTTACACCTCAACCAGCGCTCAAAGTTTCCGACGAGAACACGATGGCAAATACGATACAGTAAATTTCGCTCATTTTGTTAACAATCCTGCGCACCGGTTAAATGGCGCTGTTCTGGTGAGCTTCATGGTCTTGAGCCCCATAGAATGTGCTTATCAATGCATTCATAATCAAGATTGTTACTCGTTTAATTTCGCTGCAACTTCACTTGACGGAAGACATTCTTGTGAGCTGCTGAATACGGACAAGTTTCTCAACTCGGATGATTTAGTTTGCCATGCTGGCTTTGATCATTATAATATTAAGGTAAGAGTCACGTCAAACGTTTTTGTTTTTTTGTTTTGCTTTCTTTTTACAGTGAGACAGCCGCCTCATTCAGCTTGTTTTGGGTAATATTTTTACTCGTTCTGGATCAGTTGCAGAAGAGAAAAAGTTTGGAAAGAAAAGTCACTCGTCGATATGCAATCAAAGATCGTCTTTCTCACGCCAATTTTAAAGGTTTGATCGGCTGTTTTCGAACCACGACTCGCTCTTTCAGACTAGCAAAATTGAGTTGTAAATGTGTGCCTGCCGGTTTTGTCGTTAGCTGCGCACCAAATAACTCATGAATAAAAATCTTGCATATGATTATGGTATTTAATAATTCTAAGATAACTGAAGTCTCTCAGAGAATATCCGTTATGTACAGGTTACAGAAAGCTATCTCCTATTCAACAAGACGTTGAAACGGGGGTTTTATTCTCTACATAGACGATATTCCGCTAAATGGCTGCCAAATAAAAATTCTTTTGTAAGTATTAAAATTAGCCCAACTAACCTCGTTTTTGAGTTGATAATTCAAAAGAATTTTTACTCTCAAACGAGGTTCGGTTGGGCTTATTTAAATGCATACAAAAGAATTTTAAATTGGTAGTCATGCATTTATGAATAGGGTCTATAACATTCCCTCTTGTATCAGTTTGTAAACTCAGGGTGAGGCCGGGGGGTACTCTCAGAAAAATTGGGTAGGGATGTGCGGCCCGATTCCCTAGACCCTTACCTTATTTAAGACCAAATTCTGCGATCTTCTATGACCCTTAAATTTTATGATCTGACCAAATATTTGATACCTTATGTAAGACCGGACCCTTAATAATAATAATAATAATAATAATAATAATAATAATAATAAT